TAAAATTGAAACCTTGCAGTATGTTAGTTTATTGCTCAAAGAACTTAAGATTTGTACCCAGATACCTGTACCATTGTTTTCTAAGATTTTCTCTATCTTGAACAATGTAGAAAATCACATTTTTAATTTGAAGACATTAGCCCATACTTACAAAAATAAAGCATTTACTTTCAAGTAAAAGGTAGAAACAAAGGCTAGAAGTAAAAACTGTTGCTACAATTCGTATTCAAACTTTATACTTTTCCTTGCAAGAAAATGCTTCGGATTAATAAGGTAAAAGGTACAGATTAGCTCCTACTGATTTCGACGAATTAGTTTTAAAATTTGCATTGTGTAATCAACGTGTGTGTGTTCCGTGACAGCTGTTTATTTTATTTGTTTAATACATTCCTGATTTACTTGTGCAGTGTTAAAAAGTTAGTAAATTCAAAATGGTTCACACAATAACGCAGAAAAATTTTCATTTTCTGCACAGGTGACAGGCCTGCTCCACGTATTTTGGGATACGCGCTAAGAAAGTAATCCGTCAACCACACGACATTCTCCTCCTCAAATCTAAATAACGTTTTAAAATCTGATTCTCGTGGTGTACGTCTTGGTTTGCAGTATTTTTTTGTACGTAAATGCACCATATTAGCCATAACAAGCACAACACTGGGACCACACAACTAGAGGTTATACTTATGCAAGTCCTTTTAAGTAGATTTTGACACAAAAGCAGTCCTACAAATACATGAATTTTTACGTTAGAAGTTGTGTGATGCCTGAGCAGCTATTGAAAAGTTGAAAAGAGCGAGAAAAGTTGTTGTGAACCTAGATTCCTTTTTTTAGAAGCAAATACTTTAGTTTTTCCGTAGATGCTTCGTTTTATGAATATAAATTATGTAAAACCTTTTATACTTCATTTACTTTCTCCAGCGATGTGCCCCTTCCAATGTCTTAGATGCGTGCTGGCAAAATCGTAGGTAGGGAGAAAAAAGCTCATTACACCCTCGACTCTTGTTCATTAAACATACTTTTTCATACAGTACTTGCCAAAAGTTTTGTCCAATCATGAATAGTAGTGCGAGTCGGAAACAAGCATTAAAGCCTTTAATATGTCTTCAGATATAAATAAACATCTCGTTGGTATTTTCAGTAGTAAATGGTACCAATAACAGCACATTTGAGCAATGCAATTGTAGTGGATAAAATGGTCAATTTTTCCGTGCATAACTGTACGGATTATACGCTCTTCACCGGTTAATAGTTTTGCCGAGAGTTGTCTCCTTCCTTTTCTGGCCTAGTGCTGTTCTTTTCTACTCTGCGCCGGTCAAACTAAAGGTCACATCGGTGCAGAAAGTAAACGAAGTATACCTTAAAGCAAACCCCCGAAGCAAAATTGCTTCTTTTTATACATATACCTTGAAGGAATTGTTTCAATTTTTGGAAGCAAAAGGTAAGGGTTCTTTTTATAAATACTACATAATGAATACAGCGTTCTAGAAAGTTAAATAATCAACAAGAGCTAAATGTTTGAATTGATGATCTAAAAGATTTACAAAGGTTTAAGTTCAGCGGTGCTAGTAACATATGAAAGAAGCCATTTAAGCCTAATATAGGTAATTGTAAATAAAGCAGCTTTAATAAAAGAGTACCTATTATTATGAAATTATCTTGGCTTCAATCTTTAGGTACTAGTAATCGTATCAAAAAATATTAATACCTACTTAGCAATGTGAACAAGACAACAACTGGTTGACGAACTATAAGTACATACCTAATGTCGATGTAGCACATTTTTAATGGTACGTATAATTACCGACTAACTTGAAGTAGTTGTAACGGTGTGTCCTGCTGAAATATAATAAGAGCATTATGGTCTATCGTGGACTACCATTTAGGTCGAATTAGGTGTATTCTTAAACTAATTGCTCTTGCAGCCGAAAAGCGTGTTAATTACAACTGGTCTCCTTCGAAAATAAAAATTGTGTTACCGGAACTCTATGCAGTAGACATTGTCCGTCTGTAACAAATTTTACTTCATAAATCTTTATGTATTTGAAGTCAATTATTTGTGTGACCCTAAGTAAACGGTGCTAATCTATGGTGTATTATGTTTAAATAAACAGATGGGGTATAAAACTGTGCAAATCAAAATACCAATACCACATATAAATTTTTCTAGCTATTCTAGCAAACTTGATATATAACATTATAGATACATATCATACTGAAAATTATCATCATAAGGTCGTCAGTCCTAAGACTGATTGGACACACACCTCCACTCTTTTCTATCCTGAATGAATTTTAGCATTTTCATAAAACTAAAACATCCCACATGCTTAACTATTTAACTGGCTAACGTTTCGACTATAATTTTCAGGTTTTCTCAAAGTAGGGCATTTTACTGTTAAATTAATAATAAACATTTGTTCCCGTCAAATTATCTCCACATTCTAGTTAAAAAATTAGGGAAAAATTTGGAAACTACCATAATATGCCTTCAGTCAAGTCTAGTCTTACTATGCAGGTTCAAAGGTCAACAGAACTACCAAAAATATAAGTATGCATCCGGCTATTGGGTGGAAGGTAAAAGTGAAAGCCCTTTTATTTTAATACCGTCATTTATCTTATTAACACCTTATATATGAACCAAGAAAATGCTCATCTTGAAATTTTATGTTCAGTAAGCTCTTATCATTAATAATCATTTAGCACTTATTTTAAAACAAAATTGGAGTGCGAGAAGACGGGCGATTTTAGAAGTTAATCTATTTATTTATTTTTCTCATTCGTTGCCACAAGAATAGAATTCAATTAACCCTTCAAGTGCGTAAAAAGAAGGTTATCGTAAAAATATATTAAAATTGCAACACCCTGTAGGTATGTTTCTGTTTATTGCACACTGACACGTTTCATTACAAAACTGGGCTAAGAAACCATCCCATATGTATCAATAATTACGTTTTTGCAATATGAAACGTAACAGTTTTTTTCAATAATTTCCTTGAAGCCACAAGCGCACGCTAGGTATTTATCTAAACACGAACAAGTTCAATTAGCCCAGATAATTAAGAAACACGCTAGATGTTTCTCTGGAACCTGTCCCATTATCATCATCCCATCTATGTGTCCATCAACATTGCATTCGTTGTTGCATGGTATATACCAGGGGTCGGAGAGACAATTACAACTCTTTCAAGAAACAATTGTGGCCCATTCGAGATACAATTGCGGTCCTTTCGAGAGACAATTGTGACTGTTTCGAAAGACAATTGCGGCTCTTTCAAAAGACAATTGTGGCTCTTTCTAGAGACAATTGCGGCTCTTTCGAGAGACAATTGTGGCTCTTTCAAGAGACAATTGCGGCTCTTTCGAAAAACAATTGTGGCTCTTTTAAGAAACATTTGTCGATCTTTCCAGAAACAATTGCGGCTCTTTCGAAACACAATTTCGGCTCTTTCAAGAAACACTTGCGGCTCTTTCAAGAAACAATTGCGGCTCTTTCGAGATACAATTCCGGCTCTTTTGAAAGACAATTGCGGCCCTTTCAAAAGACAATTGTGACTCTTTCTAAAGGCAATTGCGACTCTTTCGAGAGACAATTGTGACTGCTTCGAGAGACAATTGCGGCTCTTTCGAAAGACGATTTCGGCTTTTCCGAGAAACACTTGTGGCTCTTTCAAGAAACAATTGCGGCTCTTTCTTGATAAAATTCCGGCTCTTGTGAGAGACAATTGCGGCTCTTTCGAAAAATACCTGCGGATTTTCCAAGAAACAATTGCGGCTCTTTCGAGATACAATTGCGGCTCTTTCGAAAGGCATTTGTAGCTCTTTCGAAAGGCGTTTGTGGCTCTTTCGAGAGACAATCTCAACGAACTAAGTGTAAAGCTCCAAGGAAAAGGAAACACTGTATGAAGTAGTTGGTTTTGAAAATAAATTGTTTGTTTTGGCAGAAGATGGGCCCATTATTACATTTCTAAACCTTAAGGAATCGTCGGGATTGGAACAATGCTTCTATTGACACTAATGGTTACTTCACAGGAACGATCAACACAGTGAACATCCTTCACTGTCTTTGCTGAACGATTTGGTCAGTTCAAAATAAATAAGTCTACCTTGGCTCTCAAAGCAAACAGCAAAGAATAAAATTTTACTTCATCGAATATCAGTGCTGGTGCATTTGAAATCCAATTACTAGATTTAAAAAGCAAAGTTCGACATTTACGAGCCTAAGTAGTAGCTTAAATTAGTCAGAAAACCAGAAATGTCTTTTGATATCGCAGTATAAGTGGACAACTCTAAAAGAAATGTCTAAGTATGCTTCGAATAATCTTCGGGAAGGTTGTGGCCAAATAAAAAATTGGCTTTTGGTGTGCTGACAATCTTTGGGTTAACATACTTGTGAGAGCGAGGTTTTTTCTTCAATGAACTTAATAAAGAACAAGCTAAGAAGTCAAATAACTAATCAAAATTTATAATCAAGTCTTAAACTAAAAACTATTGGTTATGTATATATCGGACTTACCAAAACTTTGTAAAGAAATAGAAGGTCATCGGTCGGATTGATTTTTTAATATAATTTCAATCTTGTTTAGCTTAATACCTACCATATTTTCTACCCTAGTAATATTGTAAATAATAATGAATAAACGATACCAGTTTGAAATAAAATATAAAAACCGAATTGAAAATTTAAATTCACGAAACAATGTTTTTGTTACTAATGTCTTTTCCAACTTAATATTTTGCCGACCCCTGGTATATACTTACAGAAAGAATGTCTGTAGTAGATATCGTAATTTTTTTGCTCCCAGCCCGCGGTCTAGGTTAACAGTTCACTCGTCCTCTACCGAAGACGGAAAAATGTTTGTGGGATTTTTCGTATTGTAAGTAATAGGTGGTCAGCCAATAGTTACGTTATAGGTACTATGTACATATGTTCTTATTTAGTTGGTTAGTTCTTCGCCGTTCTAATCATTTCAAACGTCTCGGCGTCCATCGTCCGTGCCGCTTACTCGTTCGCTTCCACGGTCCCCGGCTTCTGCATCGGGTGATGGCAACGAAGACCTAAATCTATTTGCTACAAAATGTGAACATTCTCATTAAACTTACGCAATGTAAAAGGCGCAGTGCATATTACGACCTATAACCAATGCGGCTCGTTCATTGTGTGTTATTTTGTAGTATCTAGGTACTTATATAGTTAAGTAATAGAAAAGTGCGTAACTACTGTAAAAATATGTGTGGTTTATGTTTACATTATTTATTAACTAATAATGATATCGAAGAGACTTAGTTTGAAATAATAATCGTTCTGAATGACTGAGTGAAGTACGAGTTGATAATTTTTCCGCGATTTAGAATGTCAAAAAAGGATATCATTTCCAGGGGATGAAATTTTGAGTTGGAGAGGTGAAAAAAATAAAAATCACATTACAGAGGTAACAAACATATTTCCATTTATTAATTATAAATCATCATTATTTCAAAACATCCTTAAAATAAAAAATATGTACCTACTATTTATTGTATACTCCTATATTGTTTTCTCAGAAACAATATGGTGTATACTTACCTACATTGTCGGCAAATCCTTAAAGTCGATAAGTTAGTTTTTTTCTAACCATAGACGTAATAAGTTTCAAATTATCGAATTAAGGTTGTAAAATAAAACATTGCTGTGTTCGAGATACAGAGGTCCAATTTCATTTTTCAAGTTGTAGAGGGAAAATATGTACCAAAATGTCTTGTAGGGACTCGCTGATTATTTCGACTAATAGAGGGTTGAGATTTCGAGTAATGGAAGTTTTGGGGCTTGAAGGGAAGGGAACAAATAATCTTTTCGAGTTTTGGAGGTTTTCGACTTGTCGAGGTTCGACTTAAAGAGGTTCTACTGTATTACTTTTTGATATTGATATTTGTTTCTGTAGTCTCTTTTTAATTTTACGGTAATTGTCCAGAATAGGGGTTCCAGACCAAAATCGGTCCAAAAAATTTTTCATCGATTTCCGATGATTCTACATAATAGAATTAGATATTAGAAGGTGGGGGAGAGAATTTTTTATGACTTCAGAAATAAAAAGAAAATTTTTTTTGAATGATAATTTTTCAAAATTGCTCCAATTATCGATAATTACCTGCATTGTGATGTAATTGTTTGGTTAGATACATTTATGACAGATTGGAATTTATTTAATGCCCCTGCTCATATGTTAGAGTATTTTATTAACAGAAAGAATTAGTTTTATAGATTTTCTGGTACAATATCGGAATTTCATACAATTCCTAGAATTGGGGCTCCAGACCAAAATCGCTCCAAAATTTTTTTCATCGATTTCTGGCTATTCCTGAGGGTTCAATGATTATATTTGAGGCGGGGCAGACACCTTTTGTTTTTATTACAGCATACATATTGGGGTATATGGTGTATGCATAGCTATTTCTTCTTTTAATATTAATAAAACAATTTTATGCAGTGACAATCGTGAGATAAGGAGATTAAAAGCTTGTATAACTTTTAACATCCCGCCCCTGATCCCCTCCCTCATCTCTTCCCGTACCTACAGTTTAGAACTGTGATTCGAATTTTGAAAAATTATCATTCAAAACAATTTTTTTTATCTATGAAGTCATAAAAAACGGTCTCCCTCACAGACTAATATCTAATTCTATTATGTAGAATGATCAGAAATCGTTGAAAACATTTTTGGAGCGATTTTTTCCTTCTCATCCAGTCATCTCAAAAACTCAACTTTTTCTCTTCCGTTAGCGCGGAGTGTCACTTATACAGAGCCTTATTCTAACATATTGACATGATTTTCAATTATGATTTATAATTTATAATATTTCTTCGCTGAATTTTTATACTTTTAAAAATCTTAACCAACGAAACAAAATTACACTAGTGATAAGTACCTGTCTTTTGTTTATAACAAGCAGGTATTTATAATGTAATGTAAGTACCTGGAAAATTTCGATTATATTATAATTGAAATTCATGGCGCAATAAAATTTCCGGAAGTGAAAGTTGCATAGGTATTACAAATATTCAATTTCCCATGTTTGCTTTTTTTTACAGAATATGGATATTTTGTGTAGGTATTATTTTTGTTTATCGTGCAAATATTAACATATTCCAAGGTATAATTATCATATCACAAGCCTATTACGTCGACGTTTTATACACTAATGTTACAGCGCCGCGATACACCTTTAATAAACTCTGTTTTATATCTCTACAGCTCCTTCCATCCTGAATTATCTGGCTTCCTAGATACCGAAAATCAGTCACTTCTTGTAATTTTTCGTCTCAGTACTGCCTCCATTTTATTTGAGACTAAATGCTAATATTTCTATACCATCTGCAAATCTAAACATACTAATCTTTTACCCCTGTACATCTATCCAGTGGCGGACTAACAGGGGGGCGGAAGGGGCGTCCCTGCCCAAATCCTGAACACATATAACACGCTACAAAAAATAAAAAACTATATTTGATTTATTTTATCTAATTTTTTTGTCGATCGATTCGTATTTTATTTTCCTCACCCATATCCATTCCATATTGTAGGTATGTATGTTTATTTAGACTAAATAATTTAAGTCGAATTTAAATTTCACTTGCAAGATTTTAACGAAATAAACATAAACACTTATTTATACATACAAATGTGAACTAAATAAAAAGGTTGTAAAACTACATTTTTTTTAAAGCTGGGGGGCCTCATTTAGCTCTGTCGTCCCGGGCCTCTGACGGGCTTAGTTCGCCACTGCATCTATCCCTAACGAAATCTGTTTTTCATTCTGACCTACAGAACCGTAACCCGAGAACCAACTTAACATTGTAGTTGAAAAAAAAACATGTTTTCCCATACATTCAAACTGCAAATGTAAATTTGTATGCACAATATTGTTTTGTAGAAAGATTTACCACGTTATGTTCAGACCACAGACTTCTTATTAATTTTCCTATAACCTATAAGTAAAAAAATATTTTCTATATTTCTTTTCAAAATTTTATGTTCAGTAGTTTCGGACATAAGGGGGGAGTGGTTAATTTTCATCTATTTTCTTAAATAGCTTTAAAACTATTTATTTTAAAATTGTCAAGAAATATATTTGAGACTCTTAAAACACGCCCTTTCACTTGATATGTCCCACAAAACTTTTTTTTTCAATTTTATATCGGTCCCCAAAAATGACCCCCCATNTACATATTAGGGGCAGATACAGGAGTTAAGAGGAGTAGAAGTATGAAGGTCTAGTCAGAGACATATTAGAGGCAGAAACAGGAGTTAGGAGGGGTAGAGGTAGACCTAGATTAGATTACTGTTCGCAAATAGTTAAGGATGTACATGCCCAACCAGTCTTAGGACTGACGACCTTATGATGATGATGATGCGTCTATATTTGGGTCACAGAAATTCATATTTTCAACTTAATGGGTCCAGTAAATTCGGAGCAAATTGACTGTGACAAATCAACATGACACACGAGTGATTCTATAAGTGTTCCGTTTTTAATTCGGACGTACGGAACCCTAAAGAAAGAATGCTTCAGACGGATTAGCAAATTTACTGAGCTTATTAATCGTCTACTGCTGCAGCAAACAATGAAATGGTTCAAATTATCAACCTTTACATCCATTTTAAGCTAATTATACCTTCATTTGCAAATGAGTGGTTTTGTAGAACAATAATACAACATTATACTACTGTTGTACATCATTACATGCAATAAATGTTGTTTGCGGTATCATTTGGAGTTCTTGTGTTACATGATGCGAATCATCTTTGATTAACCATGCACACTGGTGGTATTGGTTGCAGTGCATGCACAATCAAAATTGGCACGAATGTCTGAAGCATTTTATTATTAGTTGTTATTATTATTACCTACCCGCCGCAGCGTTAAACACGTTTAAAACTTTTTTGATTCTTCTCGCAATAAGCCGTTGTAATCAATGAGCAGTTAATTATGTAGGCACTTGATTAATTGCATGCATAATTAAATAACTTTCTACAGCTATTATAGATTGCACTGCAAAAAGTTATTTATTTTTTATACATTTTACAACAAACGTGAAATCACTTTACATTTGTCAATAACGGAAGCCTTTTCTACCATTATAACCTGACCTAAAGGAACTTTGCTTGATGCGTTTTGTTATTCTTCTTAGGACGTTGCCTCCTTTTTTCGGGGTTTGACGATTCAACTGGTTATAATAGTGCGTAAAAGAAGATATTTGATCCACGACTTGTTCTGTCACCTTTCCACAAATCTTATGCCTTCAATTTTTGTTTCAACGTAAAGTCAGAATCTTGCAACGCTCTCTTACTTTTTATTGACTTCCATAGAGCGCTCTGTTCTTCTATTCTTTCTAATATCTCTTTATTTCTAACCTTCTCTATCTACGGAATCCTCATCATTCGCCTGTAACACCACATTTCGAACGCTTCAAACCTTTCCTTTTCCGTTGCGCCCACCGTCCATGTTTCGCACCCGTACAGCGCCGCCAAACATTTACCTTTAACAATCTTTTTCGAATTTCTAAATTAACCGTTGCGAGCATAGAAGTGACTTCTTTTTATTGAAGGCGACACGACCCTGCGCTATCCTCTGCTCTATATCCCTACTACTCCTTCCGTCCTGACTTATCTGACTTCCTGGATACCTAAAATTAGCCAATTCTTCTAATTTTTCGTCTCCCATCTTATATTCGCTCTTTCCCTACTTTTTCTTCCCGTGCTAGTAGTTTTGTTGTACTTTTAGTTATTTTCATACAGTACTGTTTAGTCAATAACGCTTCCATTTTATTTATAGCTAGGGTTGCCATCCGTCCGGGTTTCCCCGGATTTGTCCTAGTTTAGAGGGCATCCGGGGAGCGTCCGGGGGGGGGCTTCATTTGTAGTCCTGGTTTAAAAATTTAAAGTCTTGGGCCGCCCGCCACACACGTAAAACAATTTGTAACAAACTGTAATAAGAATAATAAGAATACAGACCACTTCGAATTATTTTATAAGATTCTGTTTTGTTAGGTACATTGAAAATGATGATAAAGAATGACTAAATTTAATTTTAAGGTCTGAAAATAAATAAAAGGGTGATTTATGACATTTTCAACTGTTTTTTGTTACACTGACTATGTTTAAAAAATCTGTTGACATGTCCGGGTTCTGGACTCTAAAATCCGGGGTTTTCACGCGTCTTGCCCTGGTTTCCAAATTTTAGAGATGGCAACCCTATTTATAGCTATGTCTAACTCCTCCTTGTTAGATTGCTATATCATCTGCAAATCTAAGTTAATGATAATTACTGTTGTATTAATGTTATTATTCAAGAATTACATGGTGTAACAGTCTTCAAAAAAGTGTAAAAATATGGCAACAAAATTAATTAAGTGCCTACATACACTTGTTCTAATCAGTCATCTGTTATTAAT